TCACCCTGCCCAGCCATCCAGGAGTGGGAATCAGAACTGGATGTAATAGTGCAAGATAAAGCCATTTACTCCATTCAGGAAGACTCTGCTGGTGGCACACCCAGATGCTGGTGATGGAGTTGCAGGCTGCGGGGTGTGAGTGAGGAACCCATGGTGCTCAGTGAGGTTCACACTGAGCTCAGGCTGTTGGGTTTCCCCTCAGGTGGTCTCCTAGTGCCAGAGTGGAAGGTTTTCAAGAAAAATACCAACAAAACACTGCCTGTGCTGATTCATTCACAAACAGGACTGGGAGCAGGGACTGGTGCAGATGGAGGGAACAGTGTGAGTCTGCTCAAGGGTTCGTGGAGCCAGGGAGTGCAGCGGGGCCAGAGGAGGCTCACAGCCCCATGAGAATGGGTTTTATTGCAGAGTTTATTAGTGGATTTTTCAATGCGCTGGAAGAAATTGAGCAAGCAGTTAGAAATGTTTTCCAGCCTGGGGAAATTCGTGACAGCTACTGTGTAATAGGGGCCCACCAGAATGACTCAGGAGCACCACGCAGTCTTTCCCGATGAATTCCTGCTTGCTGTTGAAATCTTTACTGGGCCAACAGGAGTCCTTTCCCAGTTGGATCCTCTGAAATGAGACCAGTTGGGCCATGGGGGCCAAGAAAACACAGGTGTGAGTGCCATGCTCATGCTGAGTGCAGACGGTGCACCCATGCAAGTGTGGCACCCTTGTGCCAGTGTTGATATCATGTCCTGCTGTCCCACTGCCCATATGGACACGTGGACACATGTGCAAGGTTACAGCCATAGGTGACGCTCCTGCAGACATGCATCTTTCTGCAGGCTTTTGCTGCCATGTGGCCTCCACATGAATGATGCAAACACACACACACACACAAGCACACGCACACACACACACGAGTTTCTATGCTAAGGCACATGGGGCACACGTGTCCCTCGGGTGCAGCTCTGCCTCTCTCCAGCGGGAGCTGGTGGCCACATGCTTCTTTGAAATGAGCTGTCAGAGCCATTTGGAGTTGATTATTTCCTCATTCCTTGACGTACTTGGCCACGTCGGCAGCACCCGGCTGTGGGTCTGGGGCTGCACCTCGACACGCGGACAAAGGAGCCACCGCTGCTTGCTCTGGGAGGTGGCAGGGAGAGCTGGACATGAGCACAGCCTGGAGCTCCCCGGCCTTGTCCAGCCATGGTTCTGTGCTGCCCGTCACAGTCAGACTCACAGCAAACAGTGCTGTGCCCTTAGCCAGCCATTCCAGCACAGCTCTCTCCTCCTTCCTCCTCCTCTTCCTCCTCCTTGGCTGCCTCTGTATCCCACTTTGCAGATGCTCCTTCTTGTGGTGATGGTACCTGCTGCTGCCCCAGCTTGGCCAGGCAGGAGATGGGGGTGATGGGCACTGTGTGGGTTGGGGCCAGGCCCCCACAGTGCCAGGTTGCTGAGTGTGTGTAATGTGGTGGTCAGCGCTGGAAGCCATGCCAGGGAGTGCTGCAAGTGAGGGGGTGGTTGCGAGTGGGCTGAGGCTTCCTGCCTCAGTTTCCTCGAGTGCCAAGTGGAGCTATATCATATTTGCTGATGTTGAAGAGGGCACTGAAAGGGCTCAGTTGAGAAATGAGTGTTGAGTGAGAACTCTCAGCTGAGTGAGAGTTGCTCAAGCACAGCAGAGGGTATAGGCAAGTGAGAGCCAGCCTGGCACAGGGGCAAGTGATTTGGGCAATGGGCTCTGGTGACCTCCCAGTGCAGGGCCTGGAGACAGTGGCTGCATCTCATGGCTGCCCTGTGCATGGTCAGAATGGGGGGCAAAAGGCCAGAGGCAGCACTCCCTTCCCTCTGTAATAGCAGGATGGTCAGAGCCTGTGAGAGCAGTGGGATCTGCTGGGGGGCTGTAGGCCAGCCTGGGGCTGGGGCAGGGAGACATCAGTCTCTGAGCCTGCAGCTCCAGTGGAGTGGGGACTGCTGCGGAACACATCCCAGCCATAGCTGCTGGGGTCTGACTGACCCCGCCATGGCATGGGCTGAGCCTTCTCTGCTGCTCTGTGCTCCAGCAGCTGGAAACATCTGGCTGCACAAGCTTACTAAATCGATGTGGGGAGGAATCCAGCACTCTCCTGCTGTTCCCACACTTCGGCCTCTCCCAGTGGCTCCGGTTTCGACTCAGCTCTGGCATGCGGTGACTCGGTGAGCTCCGAGCCAGCCCCTGGCCCCTTGCTGCCCCTGGGGAACAGGCTGCGGGAGTCCCTGTGTCACCACCAGGACAGCACTGTGGGGGCAGATGGTGGCACTTCAGTGCTGGCAGCAGGGTGTGTGCCAGAGGTGGGTGAGCCCAAATTTGGCCCTTTCCAGGGTGAGAGCTGCTGCTTTCCCTGGAGTCTAGAGTGACCTGGACTGTCACCCAAAAACTGGAGTGATCTCATCCAGGCATGGATGATGAATGGGGCAATGGATGAGGCTGGGGGTGTGGGTTGGTGCCATTGCCCTTGAATTCCTGTCCCTGAGCCCTGGGATGCTGCTTATTGCCATTGGTGCCCCAGAAGCAGAGCAGTGCAGGGGAGGTGGTGCCCCTGTGCCGGCCCCTCAGTCGGGGCAGCTGGGGACACAGCGCAGGCTCGCCCCACTGCTCCTTGGACTGGGATGGCTGGAGCAGCCCTGCTGGCTCCGTGCCCAGGGGAACGGCTGCGGGTGGCCATGGGGGAGGCAGACAGGGTTTTGGGAGGGAGCCATGCCCAGGAGGAGCACGCTGCCGAGCTGGCAGGGTGGGAGCCACTGCTGGCGCCAGGGGACAACAGTGACTCTTCATCCCGTCCCACTGTGTCCTGACCCAGCATGCAGGGATTTGGCACTGCTGGGGTGTGCGTGCCACCTTCTCTGGCTGCAGGAGCTGGGTGTGGATGACAGCACCCACTGAATGGGGCCAGGGTGAAGGAGCTGAAGGTGCCAGGTCCTTTCCTGCATGGAGACCCACCTGGGGACATTGGTAGGTTTTGTATTGCTGTTCCCTGAGGTTCAAGGGGCCCAAATCTGTCATTGCCCTACACACTGCAGTGTGACAGCCTGGGACCTGGCCACAGGTTCCTGCCCTGCAGTTTCAAGCCTGAAAATCCATCTTTGCAGGCAACTTGAGGGCAGGACCTTGCAGCTTTGAGGTGCAAACATGATCCTTTCTTGCCCCACCAGACAGGCATGGTGTCCCCTTGTCCTGGCTGCAGAGCAAGGTGGGTCACCCTTCAGCACTGAGGGCCTCTTGAACCTCTCCTGCACCCTCATTCCATGTGTGCAACCGCCTCAGCTGCATCCCTCTCCTGTACTGCCTGTGCATCCCCATCCTGTGGCTTTGGGGACCATTTGGAGCTTCTGTGCCTTTGATTAACTCCTCCACTGGTGCAATGGTGAAGCTGGGGATGTGGGTCAGTGCCATTGGAACATGCACTTGGAGCTTCTGTGCCTTTGATTAACTCCTCTAATCTCTACAATGGAGATTTTAATAATGAGTTAATAATGACTTGTGTCCTGTTGAGCCAGGTTCTGGGAGCTGGACTGGGGTGATTGGACACATGCAGGGATGGGTGTCCTTATGCTCTGATGTGGCTGGCCACGTTGGGTGCCCTGTGGGCTCACCGGCCCTTTTGCCTCATCTACAACTGACTTTAACCTGCTTCATTGAACCCGTCTCATCGGGCTGTTCCTGCTTGTCACCCCCTTCCAGGCTCATGTGTAAATCAGGGCCGCTTCACTGGTCTGAGGTGCTCCTGCCCAGGCAGGTGGGCAAAGGGAGCTTGGGGACGGGGCAGCACCCATGGGTGCTGCCTGAGGTGTGGCCAGAGTGTGATGGGGACAAGGAACATGCAAGGAGCCCTGCTTGAGCACTGGCATGTGGCTGTGCCTTTGTGGGGAGCTGCTGGGGTGGGTGCTGGCGGTGTCCCCCATCCTCATGTCCCTGCAGCGGGGGTGTGTGCTGTCAGTGTCCCCCATCCCCCTGTCCCTGCAGTTCACATGGTGCCGGTACCGTTGCAAATCCTGAAGCGCTGGTTGCCACGTTACGTTAGGAGGAGCCACATCCCATGTCCCTGACGCCTGCTGTCACTGCAGATCCGTGGCAGGCTGCAGCTGAAAGGCTGAAATCAGGGATCAAAGCCGCAGTGGCACGGCTGTTAGTGCCTGGGGTGCATGTGAATGGGACAGGGACTCAGAGCTGGAGCCATGGCACCGAGCCCACAGCACTGCTGGGGCTGTGCCAGGAGTGACCCCCTCCTCTGTGCAGGTGTCTGTGTTCTTATACATCTACGCAGGTGTCTCTGGACAGTGTGCACACGTTTGTGTGTGCAGGTGTGTGTAAGTGTTTGTGGACCTGCCTGTATATATCTACACATGTGCACAAGTGGTTGTGATGTGGGTAGATGCATGTGCTCGTGTGCATTTTGGGGGGTGCATGGCTCTGTGTGTGTGTACATACCCATGATGTGGGTGTGTATACATGGAGAAGTCCAGGGTAGGGATACTCAGCCTGTGGGGGCTCAGTCCCACCAGCTGCTCCAGCCCTGCACAGAAGCAGCCACTCCTTCATGAGTGGGTCTCAGTGTCCTCTGCCCCTCGACATCCCCTCGGTCCCACTGGCTGCACACCAAGTGATGCTCCTCCAGCACCCATGTTCCCAAGCTGGAGCACCTCTGGGGCCTGGGGGATGCAGGGGCAGGTTTGGGGACATTCTTACAGGACTGCTGCTCCTGTCACCTGTGTGGGTCCTGTGGCCCCACTTGGTCTCTGCCAGCTCATCCTTTCTGGACTAGACATCACCATCCCAGCTGTGTGCTTGGGAGTGGCATTTCAGAGTGTTGCAGCTCCAGTCTGGTGACAGACTTGCCTTGTCCCTTCCTGATGGGCAGAGCCAGGGCTGTTGGTCATGGCCATGGGCAGGGGAGTGCTCCATCCATCCATCCATCCATCCATCCATCCATCCATCCATCCATCACCTTTAAAGCCATCACCTTGTCTCTCCACAGACCCCGAGTCCCAGAGGAAGAGGACAGTGCAGAATGTGCTGGACCTACGTCAGAACCTGGAGGAGACCATGTCCAGCCTCAAGGGCTCTCAGGTGTCTCACAGGTGAGGCCCCAGAACTGAAGCCCCCCCGCCCCTTCCCCACAGTCAGTCTCCTTCCTGGGGCAGATGGGAAGCAGCTCTGCTCCTGGTGAGGGCCATGTGGGTGGAAGGGAATCAGTGGTGCTTTGTGACCTGGGGACCCTGTGCATGGAGGCTTGGAGAGAAGCCCTCAGATCCATGGGGTGTCGTGTAGTGCTGCAGCAGAGTCCTGTCCCCGAAAGTGCTCTGGGACAGTAAAGGTCGGGGTGTGGTGGCAGTGAGGGGAGCTGACAGAGCAGAGAGGGGGGACGAGGTCTGTTCCCAGTGGTCAGGTGACCCTGAATGGACCACCAGAGGTGAATATATAACCTGTACCTAGTCCAGTTTGCACCAGAGGTTCCATCCCTATGTGAGACTTAGTTTTTCTGCTCTGTGTAGGGTGATGATGGAGGAACTCTCAGCCAGAGCCCAGGAGCAGAGGGTGGGGGTACCCTGGGCTGTCCTGCCCAGACTGGAGCGAGGGAGTGGTGGGGATGGGGACAGGGTGAGCACTGCGTGGACAACCAGAGTACTTAGGGGGCTCTGACACACGTCTGGGACTGCCTGTGTCCCCCTGGGTCACTCACATGAGATCTTGCATGGTTTCTGCTTCACTCTGGATTTGCAAGGTTGTGTGGGTGTCAGCTGGTTGGGAAAGCAGGGATGCGGGAACATCCTTCTCCTGGAGTGTGTTGCCACCTCGTGGTCTCCCTCGGTCATGCTTTTTGTCTTGGAAGGGACAAAAAGCAGCAGCAGCTTCCTCCCACCTTTCACCCACCATTCACCATTACAGACCTTCCCGTGTCAGCCCTCAACCAGCCTTGTCCAGGATGAAGCAGCCCTTTGATCTCCCTCTTCATCCCCTGAAATGTCTAGACCTCAAATGCCCTTGCTGTGCTTCCTGGATGTTTTCCGAGCCAGGAGCAGCAGAGAGCTGTGGCAGTGGGATTTGCATGGGGCCACAGCAGTATTTTCTGAGCTGGCCATTTCCTGAAATGATCCATCACAGCTCTGCCATCCCTTTGCTCAGTGCAGGAGCTGGGTCAGAGCCCAGCACTGCTCATGGCAGGGCTTAGTTGTGTTCATTTCACTTTCATCAAACGAAAAGTGTCAAACTCCACCCCCCTCCCCACCCCAGCACTCAGCTCCTTCAGAAATCCTTCTCAGCTCAGGTCTTAGGAAAATAGGGCAAGCACATTAAGGGTGATTAAATTAGCATTGCTGGTGGGATTTGACTCTTCACTATCACTTCCTTTCTTTGATGAGCTGTGAGTACATCACATGGTGGATGCCTCAGCTGCTTTCCTGCCATGGAGAAAAATGGTTATGGATAGCCCAGGGATCCCTACCCCTGTCCCTTTCAGAGGGACTTAAACATGTGAAGATCTTCCCTCTTATCCCATGACAGCTGAATTTATTTGGAAGCTTTTTTTATTCCAGTAGCCCACAGCAGCCTCGGCAGCTCTCTGCATCCCTCCAGGAGCTCCTCTGCGGCTGTGAGCCAGATTTTCCTTTCCCAAAGCTGTGTCAGCTCTTCCCTGGTACGTTGTAATTACACACGTACCCACTCATTCTGCTCTTGGGAACACTTCCTACAAGTCTGTCCAATACAGATGTCATCTGCAAGTCCTCTGGATGTGCCTGCATTGCTGGTGTCCTGTAGCTGCTTTGGGCCCTCTCTTTATTCATTCCACAAACTATTCCTCAGATTTCTCTTGTTACCCTCACTGAGTTCTTCCATCCAGTGGCTGAGGGCTCAGTCTTTGCTGTTGCCTTCTTAGGGCACAATGTTATTCCTGACAGATGTCACCGCACTCCTGGCAGCTGGGCTGCATGAACGTCCCTGGGGCTTAGAGAATCATGAAATCAGAGTCACTGAGGAGACTCACTGGCCACTTGGAGGACACTTGGAGGAAGTCTCTAAAATCCTCAAGTCTAACCACTTCCCCAGCACTGTCGTGTTCACCACTACACCACGTTCCCAAGAGCCACATCCACATGTTTTTTAAACACTTCCAAGGATGGTGACTCCACCACTGCCCTGGGCAGCCTGTGCCAGTGCCTGACCACCCTTTCAGGAAAGAAATTTTCTCCAATATCCAACCTAAACCTCCCCCGGCACAACTTGAGGCTGTTTCCTCTTTTCCTGTCCCTTGTTCCCTGGGAGCAAAGCCCAACTCCTCCCCAGCTCCCCCCTCCCATCAGAGAGTTGTGGAGAGCCAGAACTCCTGAGCCTCCTTTTTTCCAGGCTGAGTCCCCCAGCTCTCTCAGCTGCTCCTGGTGCTCCAGGCACCTTCCCAGCCCTGTTGCCCTTCTCTGGACACGCTTCAGCCCCTCAATGTCTTTCTTGTCCTGAGGGGCTCAGAACTGAACCCAGGAGTCGAGGTGAAGCTTCTGTTCCTCCTCCTCAGAGACATGGTTGGCATCTGCTCTGAGCTGCCAGGAGCACATCCTCAAACAGCCTTTGTGCTGCCGACAAAAACAAAACCCTTTTAGCTGCCCCTTTTAGTTCCGCTTTAACAAACTTCCTCGTTTTTTTTTATGTAGTTCCCTGTTTTAGATTCAGTGCTGCAGCCTGGGTTTGGCTTTGGGTGCTCCTGCAGGAACGTTTAATCCAAGCTAGGGAATAATTTACTGATAGTAGTGTTTGGATCCAATTTGAGGACTGTGGGTTCCCAAGGAGCTGCTCCAAGAAATAATAGTTTCTCGTAGCTAAATTTAGTTTTAGAATCACTGTTTGCCCAAAATACACCCCGAGAGGCACAGGGAGTGATGGAACTCCCCATTTCTGAAGTGCTTGTGGGCTCTGGGCTGGCTGCAGAGCACTGTGCTTGTGAGCAGCCTCTGGGGCTGGGCAGCCCTCTCTTGGGGTCATCTTTCCTGCCCAGATGTTGAGGGTTCAGTCTACAGGGGTTCAGTGTGAGGTGCTGCTGCAGGGACTGGTTCCAGGTCTGTCCCTCACATCCTTTCACTCACAGCCTCCACTCCCTGGCATAGCCCCCTGTCACATTCCCTGAGATCGGTGCCACCACCCCAGCTTGTCCTGTCCTGGGTCTGGTGTGATCTTGAGGTGCAGATGTTGAAGTGCTGGGGGAGAAGTATCTCAGCAGAAGCAGCCCAGACACAGGTCAGCATGTTCAGGCTTTCCACTAAAGGTGCCCTATTAGATGAGTTCAGCACGGCTGGATTTTGGGGCTGGAGCCAGTCTCCAGAATGGTGCTGATCTCTTTCCCAGGTGTGTTTGCCACCAGCCTGGTGGCATCCCTGGCTCTGCTCCGAGGTGGGTGGACAGGGCTGTGATAGAGTGTTGCTTTTATAGATTGATTTGAGCACAGAGCCTGCATCACACCCCATGTCCTATTCCACCGTCCCTGGGGAGACATGGGCATCACTAAACACCGCAAAGTGCATGTCCCATCGGGTTCTGGACTGTGGGACACTGGGCTGGCACCAGGCAGGGAAGGAGGGGACTGTCCCTTGACACCTGAGATGGAAGTGACAGACAGCATCCCTGCAACCACAGTCCTGGGAGCCCCTAGCCTTGCCTGGCTGCCTCAAAATGGGCAGTTTTGGTATCTGAGCACTTGCAGACCCAGTTCTGGGGGGGGTAGGGCAGGGCACATATCTCCACTGCCCCCTGTGCCCTGCCCTAACTCCCTGACTGCCTGTCCCCACAGCTCCCTCGAGATGACCTGCTATGACAGTGATGAAGCCAACCCACGGAGCGTCTCCAGCCTCTCCAACCGCTCCTCCCCTTTGTCCTGGCGCTACGGGCAGTCCAGCCCACGCCTGCAGGCCGGGGACGCGCCATCGGTTGGGGGCACGTGCCGCTCCGAGGGCACCCCGAGCTGGTACATGCACGGGGAGCGAGCGCACTACTCGCACACCATGCCCATGCGCAGCCCCAGCAAGCTGAGCCACATCTCCCGCCTGGAGCTGGTCGAGGCGCTGGACAGCGACGATGTGGAGCTGAAGTCGGGGTACATGAGTGACAGCGATCTGATGGGGAAGACGCTGACGGAGGATGATGACATCACCACGGGGTACGTGCCCGTGCGGGGCGTCGTGCCCAGACTGGGGCTCTCCAGGAGGTTTCAGCCGCTCCTGTTCGGCTGGCAGTGAGGGAACAGCTGGCACAGTGGGGGTGGATGGAGTGGAACATAGATTACAGCCAGTCTGGTTAGGACTGGATCATGTCCCCACATCCCAGGAGATGCTTCCCTGCTAGCAGTGCTGGTGGTGCTGGGCCAGCTGGGTCTTCTTCGGGCTAATGGGCTTCTGAGCCAGAATGAGCTGCTCTTTCAGCATATGGGAAGTGTCCATCTGGATCTGGGTGTTCCTGGAGCAGGGAGCTGAGAAAAGTGCATGGCCTGTAGCTGCAGAAGCCCTGAGCCACAGTCCTGCTGGGGTGAATGCTGCTGCTTTCAGAAGTGCTCTTCAGTTTACACCAGACAGTCTGAGTGGCTTCCTGTGATCCAGGCACTGTGGGGACGTCCTGTGAGACTCCTGGTGGTCCATGGTGGGACAGGCTGGGTCAGATCTCAGCACCCCAGTGAGAACTGGGCACCAAGGTGTCGTTGCTGATGGATGACTCCACATGGAGTAGGGTGTGCTGCTGAGCAGAGTCCCTCCTTCTGGGACCCCCATCAGCCTCCATCCCTCCACCCATGGGGCTAGGGACATCTCCTGCCAGATGGGCACAACCCAGCACTCCCAGGGCTCATGTTTTCTTGCCAGATGTGTCCAGCTCCTGCTGCACTGTTGAGGTGCCCCTGAGTCTGGCAAGAGTCCAGGGTTTGAACATGTTGGAGGTTTCCTGTTTCGGCACAGCAGAAAATAAATAACTTGGGCATTTGAGCTGTCCCAGAGCCTGATGAGGTATTTGGCCTCCTGACAGTGCTGCTTTGGCCCTCCCAGGGTGGCTGTAGTCACATCAGTTTGGTGCAGGATAGAGCACAGCCTGTGTCTTCACGCCCCTCCTGGGGCCAGTGCTCCCTAGATATGGCCTGTAGGCACTTATTGCAGTTGCAGGTGACACAGCATTGGCTATCTGCTGGCTTCTGCCCCTGCGTGCTCCAGCTGTGGGCTGAGAGTGTCTGTGACACTGTGGATGTCAGACTCATCCTCCCCATGGGCATGTGACCTTGGGGGCTGCCCTGTGCTTGTGAATGAGGGAGCCTTGTGCTGGTTCAACACGGACCCTCCTTAGATCTTAACCTATTGCTTGGCAGCCATAGGTCCCATGACACCACATTCTGCCACTGGATTGCAAGGTGTGATTGGCAGTGGGGTGGATTTGTGCTGCCCTGCATGGCTGAGGCTGCAGCAGGGCTGGTTGTGGGGACGAAGGGTACACTGTTCCCCATCTCCCTCCGTGTCTCATCTTGGTGCTAATCATGCAGGCAGATAACCTTGGGGTGCCCTTGGCTTCAGAGGCAGTGCTGGGAGGGGTGACTGGAGCAACACTTTGTATTCATCAATCACTGAGCAAGGGGGAGTGTGGGCAGGGTCAGAGACCCAGGACAGCTCAGCCCTGCACTGCTATGGGCAGAATTTACTTCTCCTTCAGGAAGGTACAAGCTTTGGGGATGGATCCCTACATGGCTGAGCCGCTGCGAGGGCCTGGCAGCACCACAACCCCCTGGTGTGGCTGTCAGTGCTGCAGTGAGCTGGGCCATGGCCAGGTGCCACAGTCCCTGTTCCTGTGCAGAGTCCCCAGCATGGGGATTCCTGGATGTGCCTGGAGTTTTCTGCCATGCCAGAGACAGACTGGGTTCTGCACTGGGTACCCTCCCCAAGGAAGGGTGCAGGAGTGAGCCAGGGCAGCACAGGACCCTCTTATCGGCAGGGGCATCTCCTGGGGATCAGCCATTTCACCAGGGTCATTGTGGGCACAGAGCCATGTAATGACCTACACAACTTCACAGCTTCATCCCCCATGGCCCCACAGCAGGACTTCGGGGGGGTCTCCCAGAGTGGGCAGCATGGCAGGGTCTCTGTCCCAGAGCATGCCTTTGGCTGGGTGCTGGGGTACACTGAGGTGCCCTGTCCAGGAGCCTGCACACTCTGGGTGCAGAACCCAGGAAGCAGAGCAGGAGCATTCCCTACTACTGAGAGCCAGATGAGATAAGGAGCTGGCTGGGAGCACTCATCCAGCACAGCCCCTCATCCAGATCCCACTCAGCCAGCACATCCCTTCACCCAGTGCAGCCCCTCATCCAGCCTTCCATCATCCAGCACAGTCTCTTATCCAGCACAGCCCCTCACCCAGCACAGCCCCTCACCCAGCCTCCTCGCTGGCTCTGACCTAGAAAGCCACCACCGCCCCAGGCCCCATCTCCCGGTGCTGCTAATGCACCGGGCAGGAGCGGCGTGCTGCAGATGGGGCCAGCAGCCCCCAGCCCGGGCCGCGGGGCAGCGTCCCCTGCACCGCGCCGGCGCACGCCCCAGCTTGTAGGGCAGTAGGTCAGAGACGGCTCAGAGGACGCGGTGACACGTCCCTGTCCCTGCTGGAGACGTGTGGGGCTGTGGGATGCGCCCCGGCATCCCCGTGGCTCGGCGGGGAAGCAGACTGGAAGGAGCGAGCGCTGAGGTAGGTGACACGACTGGGGCAAGGGGACTGCCCGCAAGGTATTGAGGTGGGTTCAGCTGGGTGGAGGCTGGGGTGAGCCCAGCCAAGGAGGCTGTGGGGGACTTGAGGCCCAGCTCACAGAGGGAGTGAGATGGTCAGGTCTGAGCAGGGATTGGCTGGGGACACCCGAGACCCCAGCAGCATTCCCGTGTTAGCCAAATGTACCAGCATCCTGACTCCTCGCCCAGCTGTGCCTGCATCCATCGGCATGCCACTTCTCTCTACCTGCTGCTGGTTTCAGGGTCTGGAAAGCTCTTGCTTTGGGCCCCTGTTTGGCAGCACATACCTTTTGTTCCCAAAGTCACTATATCCTCCTTGTGCACTGCGTCAGGGCAGGGACCAGGCACAGGGACCACCCACCAGGATGTCTGGGATGACTGAAGGAATGGAAGGGATGCTGCTGCTCTCCTGCCCTGTCCTACCTGTCCTTGCGGCCTGGGCAGGGCATGTGCAGAGATAGCACCCAGTCTTGGGCTGTTCCTCCAGCACTAAAACATATTTACTCCCTTCCTTGATCATCTTTGGTTCCCACCCACCACTATTCAGTAGCCACTTGCTGTTCCCTGCCCTGAGGCCAGTTCCAGGAAGGGTGTGGTGCCACCTGTGATGCTTTCCCACTCATCCAGACTGGGGTTGTTTCCTGAACACTGGAGGTCACCCCACCAAGGTCACTCCACTGGGAGCTTCCCCAGGGACGTCTCTGTCTGCATAGCCACGGTGTGGGTGCCTTTGTGTGCAGACCTGCATGTGAACCAGGCAGTGGTGAGGAGCATGGAGCAGGATGTGCAAGCCGAGTTTGGCCTGGTTTTGTTTTGGCCGTGTCCTGCACGTCTGAGCAGTGCCACCACAGTGTGGCCACGTGTTGGCGTGCCTGCCCGTGCCGGGTGTGCCCAGAACCTGACCTGATGTGGTGTGTCCTGAGTAGTGGCTCAGCACTATCCCTGGGTGTTCCCTAGTGCCAGCTGGGTCATGGTGGGAGTGAGTGGGATGCTGCAAGGCTTTGCTGCAGTCAGGAGCTCATGGGGTGCAGAGGGAGCTAGTGGGGCTGGCTGCTGAGTCAGCACCTTCTGCTGCGGTGGCTGCAGGAGTAGTGATGATGGTCTGTGTGTGCTGCAGTGCTGTAGTGTGGGGACATAGCTCTGGAGCCAGTCCCCGGGGCTCTGCATGTCCCTTGGGGCTTCCAGAGCACTGGGGGGATGTTTGTGTGACCCTGGGACTGCTGTGATTTCAGGATGTCCTTTTGCATCTCATTTGTTGGAGGTAGAAGGGGAGGCAGCACTGCATTCCACCTCAGCAGTGGCAGCATCTGCACCCTCATGAGCTGGGTACTTCCCTGACTCTGCTTGTGGGCATGAAATGGAGCTGAGGCAGCAGCTTTTGGAACTGGGAGCGCAGGGCATGCTGCTAGCCCACGGCACACCCCAGGCACCGTCCCAGGTCACTGTGATGGTGCTGCTGGCAGCCAAGAACTGCAGAGCCTGTGGTCCCCTCCAGCAGAGCTGGGGGCTGCCAGCAGCATCCTCCCAGGAGGGATGCTCTGGAGCTGACACCCGCTGCGCTCTGGCTGGCCTGGCTCCGGCTTCCTCGCAGCTCCTCGGGCTCGGCGCAGCCCGTAGGCGGGAGCAGATGTTTGGCTCTGCTCCGCAGGAGCAGCAGGGGAGCGGCCGCCCTCCTCCTGCTCCAAGCAGGACTGGCGCTGGAGCCTGCTCCCTTCCCTCGAACGCCCCTTGCTCCACTTTGGCTAGTCCAGGATGACCCCATGTCCTGTCCCAGTGAGCCCATGAAGTCATTCCTCATCAGGGACATCCCGTGGGGCATGGCTGTGGCCCTGCACGTGGCCTGGCGTGTGTGTGGGACCCTGGCTGGCCAGGGAGCATTGTTGTATAAATATTTGCTGGGCTGCGCCGCGTGCTGGGCTTGGCGAGCTCCTCCCGCCAGCTGGGTACAGGGGACGCTCCCAGAAAGGGGCCCCAGGACCTCACTGGGCATCAGCACCACTGAAGCGCCTTCCTGTGTACTGCTTTCTAGCAATTCCGTCCTTTGGGGTTTGGGTTGAGGCACCCAGTGCTGATCCCTGGCCCCTGGAGATGTGACAGTGGCTGCATGAGGCATGTTTTGGGAAGGGAATACTGGGGTTGTGAGGCTTGGGGGTACAGGGCACCTGGGAGTCAGTGCATGGCCAAGATGCAGGAAGCTGCTGGCCCCTGAGGCTTGTTGATGAGGCTGGATGTGGACACAGGGCAGAGCCGAGCGCAGGGTTGGACCTCACACACCCATGTGCCCTGGGGAAAGCTGCTGGGGAGAATCTGACCCAAACCCTCTCTGCATGCCATCTGGGGACCTCAAGACCTGGCTTTACCATGTGCCTGTGGAGGAGCCTGGCCACTATGGACTGAGGTGTCCGAGGTCACC